GGGTAGTATTCCTCGGTTCCAGGATAACAATGAGAAAGAATCAGGCTAATTTTCCCTCTGTGCCTTTTTTTAGCGTACAAACAGGTTCGGAGCGTATAGAAGCCGTCGTGCAACAAGCATTGGCGAAAGAAAGAAGAAGCGGCAGTTTTTTGGGCGCCGGGGGCTTTGTCATTCTATCACAGCCAGCCGCCTTGACACACACACACACACACGCACACACCCCTGGCAAATGGAGTTATTCTTGGCGAACTTTTAGCAGAACAAAGGGCAACAAGAAAAAGGGCCACTGACAGTAAAGACCGGGCGCGTACCGGTCCGGCGGCGGCGGCGGCGGCGGCGGCCAGCCATGAGGAATCGCTGCAGAAGAGTTGGAGGGGGTCATCACTAAAAGAGGTCGGTCGGGTCTCTTCAACAGAGAAAGCCACAAGGCCCCAAAAAAGAAAAGTTACAGGGCCTAAAGTCAGTTGGAGAGCGGGCCGGGGATGGGGCTTGCGTTAGGCGATGGGCGTTCCGGCGGTTACACGATGGGGACGGGACCAATCATGGGAACGGATGACGGTTGTAGCAGGGGGGGGAGGGGTGAGGAGCAAGGGTGTGTGTGTCGTGTGTGTTGCAAGGGTCAAGGGGGGGTAGTTTTTTTCCCCCTCTATTGTGTATATATTTGCACTTGCGAGGGCTGGCAACTGCATAGTTCTTTTTGGTGTGTCTATTGTATTTAAAGTAAGTATTGTATTTGTGAGTGGCTGCACAAGCACACCAGGCAATTTTGGGCCAAACAGCGATGCGACGGGGCATTTGATGAGGAAGAATGCAGCCTTTTTCTAGGTCTTATTGGTAAAAGATGAAAATGATTAAAAAGACCCCCTTCTTGGTCGTCATTTGGATTCCAATATGTAGGTACCGTGGGACGCTGCAACGTGCTCCTTTGCTTGCTTGCTCGCTGGCTTGCTAACTTCGACTTTGTTGGTAGCCGCCCACCCCTTCGCTCTGTGTACACGCTGTGCGCCCATTGTGACTTTTTTCTTTTCAGGCAGCATTGTTCAATCTTATTTCCCACCTCGGCTTATTTCTTCATCACCCCCGTTATCCGTCGTCTTGAGAATAATAAGAAAGAAAACGATCAAAACGGTATAAGGGGGGCCATTCTTTGATTCCCCCCGCCTTTGCTCCAATATACACCCTTTCGGCGGGCATGATGCATCCCACGTTTTTTCAATCAAGCCCAAGCCACACAAGCTTGCCCGTGTGTGCGGGGAGGGGGAAGGGAAGCAACAGCCGTGCCATCTTTTCTTTTAGATTAATCATCCTTTTTTTTCGGGTTGCTGCTACAAATGACTAGGGTGTGAACCACCGGCACGTCGCAACTTGCAAGAGGCTGCTGGCTGCGCATCCATCCATCCTGTTGTGACTTGTTGCGTGATGGCCTGCGCTTTTTTTTTTTTTTGTTTCTTATTATCAAGCCCAACCCCCCGTTCTCTGACAGGTTCTTTTCTTTGATGCGATTGATCTCTCGGGACGCCCTTTCTACGCAACATCAGAATTCTGTTACATTGGTCAAGTCGCACCGTAACGAAGGCGGCCGTCGTCTCATCTAGAAGGAGGTTGGAGAGGTTCATCGCAAGATTCAATTACTGCCACGGGAACAGAGGTGTGGAGGGGAGGGGGACAAGACGCAAGTAGCCGTGCCGTGCCCTGTCCTCCTTTTCCTTTTTTCTTTCTTTCGCTTCTTTTTCGGATAAAACGGACGCTGATATAGCCGCCCGCCACAAGTGCCGAAAGGAGCCTGTGTACGGATCATAGCCCAAAACTTGCCCCGTGTGCTTTGCCCTCGGTCGCGCCGCCCACCGAACCATATCGTGGCCGCACGTGGCTATTGCTCATCGTAGGTGGCCACGGCGTTGCTTGCGCAATGCCAGCAAGCAATCGCATGACTTTTGTTCGCCCAGGCCAGTCGGCCAGTCACCGCCCATTTCCCACCGATCAACCTAGTCTCGGTAGTTTCTTGGTATCATGCAATTCTTATTCGCATGAATCAGATACCGCTGGGATCAAAAAGGCCAAGAAAAAGAGAACTGAAAAACTCTCCCCGACCCCCCCGAGTAGAACGTTTTCCCCTCTTTTCTTTTCGCGAATCAATGACTGTATGCAAGCCACCGTCACCATCAATGCCCGATTGGGAAGTCCAGCGGCTGTGCGACGCTCGCCATTGGTCGGCACTCGACATTCTCCACCGACCAGTTGATCCCCAGCGAAACCCGATTCACCTCTTAAATCTCTCCATCATCCTTTCGCCTCTTTTTTTTCAAAGCCCTTGTAGCGGAGGCTGGTGTCTGAGATGTGATTGGATTTACATAGTGGCGTCTTGCATTTGACTACTGATAAGTGGCCGAGCTATTGCAGTCTTGGCTTTTTTTCCTTTACTTGTACGTGAATGGAGGATTTTTCATTGTTGCGACGGCGGGGGGCGCCCAAGAAGTTGCATGCAGCCCGCGTGGAACCTATATTCTTTTTATCCTTTTTTAGACTCGCATTAAAACTTGCGCTTCTCTTCTTCTCCATCACATGAGGGGGGAAAAAGCTGAATCGGGCCGTGGGAAAGAAGAGAATGTGACTGCTCGTCTGATTGATGATGCCGCCTTCGGTAGTTGTTGCAGCTGTCCTACCTGGATGGTCCACCACCAACCACTGACAGCGCAGATCGGGACGGGACCCTGCTAGATCTTGTGTCACCACACGCAGCATACGGATGTACATTCGTCGTCTCCATAGCACATGTTTCTCTTTTTTGTTCTCTTCTTTTTGGTTTTTGTTCTGCATTTATTACTTTTTTACAATGACATGAAACAGAGTAGATGTTAAATGGCCGCTTCTAATCTGATTTTGCGGGAGAGTTGGGTGATTTTACCCTCTATAGATATGTGTGTTATTATACAGATATACACTTCCCAAACGCCAACATGCCAAGGGACAAGAACATGGACAAATCTGCAGAGTCCCGAAAAGTCCGTCTTTACAATTACCCTGTCGGAGCTGCTTCCTGCAACGACGGCGACAGCGGCTTCTCAGATTTCGGTTCCTGCAACGATGGCAACAGCGGCTTCTTGGTCTTCGGATCCTGCAGCGACCGCAGCGCCGTCTCCAGCGCCTCAAGCCTCTGCCGGTGCCTCTCCTCGGCCTCGCGCAGCGCCTCGTCGCCCGCCTCGACGCGCCGCGCCAGCTCCTCGATGCGCTCCTTGTTGCTGTCTGGCTTCTGCTGCGCGCGCCAGTACTCGTACAGGATCAGTGCGACCGCCACCCCCAAGATGAATGTGTCGCCTATCACGTCGGCAAACAGGTCCACGGCCTTTTCCTCGGGTAACGCGCGAAATTTGCGTGTCCAAATGTTTTGAAACGGCTGCCTCCTTGGTTTTTGCGATTGCTTTGCAGTCGTCGTCCCCTTTGTCGTCGTCCCTGTTGTCGTCGTCCCTGTTGTCGTCGTTCCCTGTGTCGTTGTCGTCGTCGAAGTCGTCGAAGTCGTTCCGCTGGCTTTTTTGCGCTCCTTTTCCCGCTCCTTTTCCTCCTCGCGTCGCGTCTGCGCTTCCGTCTTGACCGTTGGCGCCTCCGCCTTTTCCTTGGCGCGCCGCTCCGCCTCGACGTCCCGAAGTAGCGCCACCGACATTCTCATATTCAACTGGTGCATCATCTGGCCGTAGCGAGCGGCAAAGGCGCGGAAGCGCGCATGGTCGTGGGCTTGCTTCTTGATGTGATTCTGCCAGATTGTCTTCAGTCAGCAATTGCGCGTAGTCTGCGGGGTTTAAAAAGCGCCGGTGACACAAGTAGCGAGAGGTCGCCAAGGAGAAACTTACAGCACCATATTTGGAAACGTGCCTCAGAAACAGTGCTCCGAGCTTGAATAGCGGCAATGGCACCATTGTCGAATGTCGTCACCGAATTCTTCAGCGAATTCCTCAGCGAAATGCAACAATTTCATCGTCAAACAGGCGTAGTCATCTCTCAAAAGTGGGGCTCTTCGACCTGCCAGCTGCTCACCATTTCAACGACGTCTGGTCTCCACATACTTTGCATCTGACCAATCACACATCTCCAATTCCGTTGCCAACAGCAACCAAAATGTCAGAAAAGTACACAAACCACGGGGCAACCACTGCAGCTATGGACGGGCTTCTAGAGCACCAGCCCGTCACGATCCACAGAGTCATCTTCTAGACTTTTTATCTTTCCCCATCTTGCTTCAGCGCTTGTTTGACAGTCTTTTTCTGTTTTGAACCTTCTTTTTGCCGCCTTCCCCCCTTCCCGGTGCGACGTATGCCACTTGCTCGTGCCTCTACAACAGCTGTTTGAACGAGAAGCAAACCGATAACGACGACATCGCTCCCCGCAACAAGCGCCAGTCATGGCTCATCGGCTCGCCGCTAGGGGCGCCGACCTCGAGGCATTGTCGCCTCGTGATGCCAATGCTCAGCGCATGCCCAAGCACGCCGATGTCAAGACCAAGACAGCCGCCCAGCTCAAGGCCGCCAAGGACAAGGAGCACCCGCCGCCGCCGCCGCCCGAGGTCTTGGAGCCCTCATCCAGCGAGCGGCCTAACGGGGCCATCTACCAGACAGGCAAGCTGCTCGGCAAGGGTGGCTTTGCCATCTGCTACACCGGTCACCTGCAGCCCTCCAACAAGGTCTACGCCCTCAAAATTGTCAAGAGTCATATGCCGCCCAAGATGGAGCAAAAGGTACGTCCCGTCTCGAGTCGTCACCACAAGGCAACAAGCATTGACCGATATCCAGTTCCAAACCGAGCTCCAAATACACTCCAAGATGAAGCACAAGAATATCGTCCAATTCTGGCGCGCCTTTTCGTTTCAGAATAGCACGTACCTCGTCCTCGAGCTCTGCCCCAACGGCTCGCTCATGGACATGGTCAAGCGCCGCAAGGGATTGACGGAGCCCGAAGTCCGGTTTTACTCGGTGCAGATTGCCGGCGCCATCAAATATATGCACAGCAAGGGCATTATCCACAGAGACTTGAAAATGGGCAACATCTTTCTGGATGCTCAAATGAATGCTAAAATTGGCGACTTTGGTCTTGCTGCGCTCCTTGTTACGGGCAGGGACATGCACACCATCCGTCGCACGACACTTTGTGGAACTCCAAACTACATTGCGCCTGAGATTCTCGAAAAGGGCAAAAAGGGCCACGATCACATGGTTGACATATGGTCTCTAGGCATCATCATGTGAGCCCTCTCATCTCATTGACACCCGGCTATGCTAATTTTCTAGGTTTGCCATGTTTACTTCCAAGCCACCTTTCCAATCATCCACTACAGATGAAATCTACCGTCGCGCAAGAGAGCGCGACTATGAATGGCCCGTCAATGACGCTACACGCTACATCAGTGAGGAGGCCAAGGATCTCGTAGCCACCATGCTGGAGGACGCCGACCAACGGCCCGAACCAGACACCATAATTCAACACCCCTTCTTCACAATTGGCTTCACACCAAGAGAGTCGGAAATGAGCTCCCGCTTACGTGAAATGGCCCCTGATAGGCAAGAATTCTACGGCCGTCTGCCCTCGGCCATGCGCACACAATCCATGCGAAATCTCAAAGATCTCTGCCGCGAATCCGGCATTGGCACCCTGTCGCATGTTCAAGTTCTTCATACGCAAATTTGGAAGGAGATGGCTGCCGAGGAAAAGGCTGGCCTCACCCCCGTCATTCCTTTAGCCGAAGACATCGTCTATACGCCATTTGATGACTGGATCAAGGAGCAGCAGCAACTACGCCTGAAACAGTCTGTATCTGCGCCAACGATGGTTGCACCCACAACTGCACCCGAAAAGACGAGTCTTCTCCGTCAGCCTCCTCAGAGTTTTGCTGCTCAACAAAGAGCCCAAAACCGGCCATCTATTGCACCGCCAGCAAAACCCATCTCTACAGAGGCATCCTCGCAAAGCACTCGGGTCAGGCGCGCGGAATCTATTTCTACAGAGGCACATTCACAAAGCACTCGGGTCAAGCGGGCCGAATCCATTCCTGCAGAGGCACCCTCACAAGGCACTCGGGTCAAGCGTACAGATTCGTTGGCACTGCGTCCCAAGGAGGCGCCCGATTCCATCAGAAGCGTGCGCCCGGCGATACGCACCGCCCTTCCTTCTATCCGCTCAGCACCAAACATTCATCTTGTCGAGCGCTCAGCTACTCTGACAGCTTCGGCATCCGCAAGTCTAGGCCACTCGCGGCAAAACTCTGACTCCATCCATACCACCACTCTTTTCAGTCCTTTGGAGAAGCTCACTCAAGTCGCTGGCACCAACCCCGATGTCGTGCTCGAACGCCTTCGCAGGTTAGAGACTGAGCTGGAGCGTGCCCTCAACGCGCGCTCTATGGCCATCATCTCTTCCAAGACAGTCACGCCCTCACCACCGCACATTGTGGTCAAATGGGTAGACTACACCAACAAGTTTGGTCTTGGCTATATCCTCAACGATGGCGGTGTCGGTTGTATTCTTCGTGACATTCCCACCACCGAAGGCAGCAAGACTGCCCTTCTTCCTCCTGCCGGCGTCTTCATCCGCGGCGCCGAGAGACATATTCTTCGGCGCCAAGACGAATCATACCCCGAGAGAAACCAGCCGGTCCCCATGTCCCAGTCGATTACCTTTTTCGAAAACAAGGGCGAGGCTGGTCTGACCGAAGTCTCGCTATCGCCCGAGCAGTTTCGCGTAGCGGTCAATGAAGACGGCACGGCGGGCAAGATGAACCCGGGCCGCGACATTTACCAGCACAGAAAACGGGAGCGCATCATTTTGTGGAAAAAGTTTGCCAACTACATGATTGCCTATGGACGCGACGAAGCCATTGCCGAGGAACCTGCTGCCAAGAGCCAAAAGGCCACACCTTCTGAGCTCGTCACGTTCTACCAGCGCTTTGGCGACGTAGGCTGCTGGGCCTTTTGCGACGGCCACCTCCAGTTCAACTTTCCAGACCACACCAAAATTGTGCTCGATGCCACGGGGACGTGGTGCCACTTTTGGCACCTGCCCCAGGACGCGGCTGAGCGCCTCGCCGAGACGGGCACAATTGGCGCCGCGGCCCTCGACGACCGCGCAACGCTCTCGTATCCGTTGCAGACGCTGCTCAACTTTCAGGCGCCCGCCCGCGCGACAATGGCCGTTAACTCGACGCGGTCGACCAGGAAGCGACCCGAGATTGACCCGGAGCTGCAGGGCATCCCCGCCGCCAACGATTTCCGCCGCAAGATTGACTTTATCCGCACCGTCGTCAAGGAGTGGGTTTCGAATGGCGGGCTCGGCAACAGCTCCATGGCGCGCGAACGGCGCCTCCGGTGGCGCGGACATCGCGAGACTATTCACAGCACGGCGCCGCAAAAGCACGTCTGGGTCACGATTGGCGCGCGATGGGGTGACCAGCGCATATCTACCTTTGTTGACCCCCTCAGGCCGTGGGAACTAGGCGCCGAGGTCGAGGCCAAAAAGTGATGACGGATGATGATACCCCCCTAATGAATGTCTTTCGTAGCCGGCGTACATGTCATGACTATAATATATTTCGTCTTCTTTTTTTTCCGACTTTGTCTTGTAATCTGACAGAACTGCCTTCCGTTTGTGCTGTAGACTTTATATATCGCCCCTTGTGTAGAGCCTTTCCTATATTTGCAGTCTAACATTACTCTTAACAAATGCCAAGTATTACGAAATGTAGTCAGTCGACTTTGCGAGGTTGTGTAGTAGGAAAAGCGCAACGAAAAGGAACAGAGCAGTCATACAAATAATGAAATTGTTGTCGTCATGTGTGCAGAATAAAATATTGGAATACATAGATATGTATATAGATATATATATACTTGTATACAGTACGGTCTTGGCTGTGCTTGGCTTATTAACAGAACAAAAAATAAAGACTATCCAGACGCCGCTGAGTTTGTAAAGGTAGCATAAAAATATACCAAAGCCACCCCCCTCTTGAAATCAGCAAATTACAATGTTCTTGTCTGTGTGTGTAAAAAAATGATCCGGAAGCGTCAAATGAAAAAGATATAAAGAGAAAAGGCGCCCATACTAGTAATAGAACCACCCGGCATCAGAAAAAGCGTCAGCAAGTCTACGTGCAACTCGAAGCCATCATGCTTGGACGAAGGTCTACGCATCCGAATAATAGTCTTCATGGCCCGCCGCCGGCGGCAGCGCCCAGCCGCCCGTCGACGTCAGGTTGTCGCGGGAGCTCGACGCCCAGTACGCACCCTTGGAGCGCTTCTCACGTTCAAACTCGGCCCAGCGCTTCATGGTAATCTTGGAGCTGTCAAACTCGCCGGCGGCCTCGTGGCCCGACTTGCCCTTGACCTCGCCGTCCGTCTTGCGCGTCTCGCCCCACGAGAAGTCGTCAAACTTCCAGAACGCGTACGTGGGCAGCACAAAGTTCCAAATGGGCAGCGAGACGAGGTAGATGAGCATCCAGGCGACGTATGACAATGAGTGCGCCGTGACAATAATCAGCGCGCCGGGGAGGCCGAGAATGAGGCCGAGCAGCACGAGCGGAATGATTTGCACGGGTTGATGGATGATCGAGGTGATGACGACGTAAAAGGTAAAGGCAATGGCGGCGGGCAGGACAAGTGTGCCAACGAGCTCGACAAAGATAATAAACTGCATGGAGAAGCAAAAGGTACCGCAGAGGTCACGGACAAGAACGAGCTCCATAAGGTTGTGCACGGTTGAGTTGATCCAGCGACGGCGCTGGGAGAGCAGAACCATGAACTCGTCAGGGACGGTCGTCTTGCAGACGGCCTGCGGCACGAAAATTTGTTTGCGCTTCGGAAATGTGCGCAGCATCAGAGTTGTCAGGTAGCGATCCTCGCCCAGCAGGTACAGGTTCTTCTCGTGCAGAGTCTCAACCACATTCTCCGAGTAGTGCTCGACCACGTCGGGGTTGGCCAGGATGGGCACCCAGTAGTTTTGGCCGCCTTTGGGCGCCTTGATACGGTACATGCAGAAACAGCCGGGCAGACAGGTGACACCACCAAACACAGATTCAAACGACTTGGCGAGGTGGTGTGAGATAAAGTACTCAAAGACCTGGATGGCAGAAACCCAGCTGGCGCGCTTGTTGGCAATTTTGGTCTCGCCGCAGAGACCCATAATCTCCGGATCTTTGACCATGGCCGACACCATGTGCGTCAGGCTGTCGGGAAAGACCTTGGTGTCGGCGTCGACCATGAGCACTATCTCGTAGTAGTCGGGCGATATACCAGTCACCTTCCACAAGCCGTTGAACATTTCGTACTCAAGCTCCGTCATCCGCTCGTCAAACATGACTTTCTGCAAAAATGACATAAGGATAATCTGACTGTCACGCTTACCACGATTACCGGCCTTGGAACCACCAAACTCGGCGGGCGTGCCGCACTTGACAATCACCATCATGGGGACTCGCTGCTGGCGCTCCTGAGGGATGCGCGAGTTGGCACCATAGTCATAAAAGCCGCAGTGCACCTTGGCCATGTTGTGTCGCTTGGAGCCGCTAGCTACAGCGACATAAGAGAATGGCTGAACGAGCTCTGGCGGCGTGGTGTGGTCCTTGAGCATGGACAAACAGGCGTCCGGGGTAGACACTGATTCGCCCTTGCCCTTGATGATGCCATCGCAAATTACGAGAATGACCTTGTGGCTGTTGGGATAATCGGTCATGGCAATCGAGTCGAGAGTGGTACGAATGCCTTCTGCACCCTCGGAATAGGCAGTGACCAGACACATAGTGTGGGCAAGGGGGAAGCCAAAAGGCATCCAATCAGAGGGTGGTTGGGGAACAACAGAGTCATGGATGAAACCCGCGGGACCAGGTCCATCGGTCGAGGTGGTGTTGCCGTAGGGTTCTGAGCGGAGGAAGCTGGCGCGACTGTCGTTGCTTTGTTTATAGACAGAGTTTGGCTGGAGCAGTGCGCTGCCGCCTTGGCTGGACATGGTGGTAGGGAGACGGCCGCGGGCGTTGGAACTGCGCTCGCCAGGATTGATAGCAGAGAAACGAGAGGTGGTTGGGAGAAATGTGGAAGCGCGCTTGCTATTGCGATCGGAACCGGCTGCGGTACTGCCGAGTTCGCCGGGGAGACGCGCTGGTGCACGGTAGATATCTTCGGACCAATCTTCAATCTGCTTGTTGCGCTTGCGGCGGTCGGAGCTTTGCGAGGTTTTGTGGGCGGCATAGGTACGGCTGATGAACCACTGAAAGACTAGGGCGAGGGAGAATCGGGCGACAACGACGGACAGGATCAAGGCCAACGCGCAGTAGAGCACAACCTTGGAAGCGATGCAGCCAACAGTTTCAGTGTCGACGGAACCAACCTTGATAATCTCCTCGAAACACTGGGCGTACTTTTTGTCCTCGGAGCTCTGGAATAGGCGAGTGACATCGCGGCCACGGACAGCCTTGTTGAAGGGAGAATTGGTGTCGCGAAGCTCCTTGAAACGGTCGGGAATGCGAACCTGAGTTTCGTTGAACCAATTGAGAACGTTGAGATCGAGAACATTGCCGGAGTACACTATCAGGTTGCGCGAGCTGTTGCGAATATCTTGCCAAGAAAAGTAGACATCGGCGGCACCCTTGAGCCCCTTGTAGAAAGCGTTGCGTGCGGGGTTGGAGGTGTGGCAGGCGTAGCCAAGATAGTAGGGGATCGTCAGGTTGGGTTGCGTCGAGCCATCCTGGTTGGTCGTGGTACATGGAAAGTACCAGGCAAGGTCGCCGTTGGCGTTGGTAGGGACATCAGAGTCTGGTGCGGCAGTAATGATGTTCTTGCAGGCACCGTTGACGTTTTGGAATAGGAAGCTTCCGTCCTGGCCGGTGTGCTTTTCGGGCAAATCGTACAAGACATTGGCGCCGGTGCCGTCCTGGCGGCGAGGAATGCCCTCGGCAACGGGGTGGTGCGACTCGGACAGATCGTAGGCGACACCGTGGAAAATCATGTAGCCGCCCGAGACCCTGTTGTTGCGGAGGCGGATGGGAGGAGCGCTGCAGACAGCGGCAGTGAAACCAAAGGTGAGAAAACCAACGACGGCCATGATCATGAGAATAATGCTAATCAAGCCCATCTTCTCACGCCAAGCGCGCTGTTGGGCCTTGGCAGGCATGCCGCAGCAACGCAGTATGAAGGCGGGACACCAAAAGGTAACAAGAGAGCAGTAGACGTTCCAGATGGTTGGGGGACGCAGCTTGTCCTCTACAGCTTTGTGTTTGCGCCTGGGCTTGATCTTGCTCTCTTTGACAATCTTTCCATGCCTACCGCGGCGAGGTGGCCGGGGTGGGCTCGATTTTTCTTGAGCACGGGTCTTATTCTCCTTGGAATTCTCCGAGACGGTCTCATAGGCGTGGGAGCCGCCGGATCGTTCCGTGGTGGTGTCGAAGTTCTCGAGGAGAGGATCATTGCCGGTGGAGGACGGCAGAACATTCATTCGAGCGGAATGCTTATGGTAGTGGTAGTTGCGATGGTCCTTGTCGATGCGGTTGCGCTCAGGGCGAATCAGGCTGCGTTTTCGCGAGATGTGGTCTTCGGGTTGCGGTGAGCTGCTGCCCTGGAGAGGCGCGGTATCGGGATTGTTATTAGGGTTGGAAATGGTTTCGGCAAAGGATGAGGTAGATTTGCCACGGCGACGACGATCTTTGGCAGGTACATCGACGGTGTGAAATTCGCCTGTTTCGATGTCGACAGCCCGATGCCGCCGCGAGCTGGAGTTTCGATAGCCTTTGGCCTTGGGCGACTCTTGCCCGGGCCTCTGTGGGAGCGACATTGTTTATAGGCTCATGAATGCAATATAAAAATGCGGACAATAAGATGATAAGCAGAAAGACGAGCAAAGGAAAATCAAGTAAATAAACGAGTGATGCTCTGCTGGTTATGCAGAGTTTGTGGAGTTTGTGTTGTCAGGAAAAGGGAGACGGGCCATGTGCCCCCGCTGACATGGACACAATGTACGGCGTGCATGTACCCCGAAGTAGCGAGTTTAGGGGTGCGCTAGATGGCGTCACTAAGGGCGAGGTTCGTGTGCTGGAAAGAATAAATACAGTGCTTATGATTGGCGGATGTGTTAATATGGGTTTTGGAGGTACATTAAGTTACTTGGTTGTCCAGGCGACCAGGGTTTGGCTGCCTAACAAGTACGGGAACAACGGTCAACTTTGGATACCATGTTCAGAAAGTTTGGAGTGTAGAAATAGTTGATTTCGATGACCTGTTGAATAGAGCCTCGATTCTCCTTGTCAAAATAGGCGACAAACATTTTCTAGCGTGTTGCATAGGCCATTGTCTTCGGGACAGGAATGCAGGTGGACCTCGATCAAGCAGACCTCAGTGTCACGTATCACGATGCACAGTTGGCAATTGACAGCTATTTAGCACACGGCGTCTCGGCCGCGTCTCGAAATATTTTTTCGCCGATAGTTGGCGGTGGCATCAGCGCAAAGGCTTGACGCCATGACAGACAGGATGAAACAATACAGGGCATCAGCCATGCTTCAGCGCCGTCGTCAAGGCTGGCACGGCTGGTATAGGGTGGGTGTCTCACGCAAGCGCGGATCTGGCTCAAGATCTATTCCTACGGGAATGGCGATAATAAGAGGCCGATGACGGACATGCAGGGTAATAAATGCAGAGAAGACGTGCTTGCGAGATGTGACAAAGACAGTACACCAGTGCGCAGACAGTGATACAGCGTCTTAGAAATAGTCTCTCGGTTACGATGGATGGAGGTTCATCTAGTCATGGGACGCTAAGAACAGTTTCAGGCCAAGATACGAACGGCCACGTGAGTGGAGCAGAGGACCACAGAGGCTAGAAAAAAAGAAGCAGAAGAAAAAAAAGGGAGAAAAGCGACATGACTCTGTGGGAGACTGAAACTAATAAGCCTTGGCTGGTAGAGTATGCTTGTTGCGGGTTGCGGGTTGTGAGTTGCTCGGGCGTAGCTGTCTGTGTCCAGGCGAAGCGGACCAACGACAAGATCTAAAAGTTGACATGACCCTGGCAATCTGGCTATTTTATGCAAGTCAGCAATGCAACCATGCGACTCGAATAATGACTATTGGTGCTGTTGGATTGATGGTCGCTTGGGCGCAAGATGGAGCGTCGTTCATCTTATAATGGATCATACGGGCCCGCAGTGCTTGGCGACAGTGTCTGGTGGGAGAAAATGACGGCATAGGGATGCAGGAATACGAGAGACGGGGCACTGCCGAGGTGAAAGTAGTGTTTCGGGAAATGACGAGATTATCGATGGCATTGTGTTTTGTCGTAGGATGCTTTCACGCTGGAAAATTGCATGTTGGCAAGACAGTCGAAGGTGGTTGATGCTGGGTTGAGTAGGGATAATAGGGGCCAAGAAGACGCTAAGAAAACGGCGCGGAGCGATGTGGTGCGAGGAAATGAGATTTTTTGGTAGTTTTGATTGGGTTGGAGAGGCCGTGATGCGGCTGTGATGCGGCTGATTCGATAGAGCAGCCAAGGCTGACCGAGGGTCGAGGGAAGAATTCTGCAGAAGCATGGTCGTGACTCCTGAGTGGCTGATGAGTGAGGCTCAGCGGCAAAGGCCCCTGCCGCCAACGTCACAACGGGACAGGTGGTACAGCATGATGCATGATGGGAATGATGGCCAACTATAAATATTGTCGGAATTGATCATGGCTCGTTTCGTTATATTTCATCTAGATATCATAATCTGCACCGTAATAATACCTAATTGTAAGACGAGCAGACAGGGCCCATAGGATCAGCTGCCACCCGTGACCCGCCGAGCAAGTAATCCGTAGGCAGGACACCTTTTTTACTTGGGATACCTATCCAACCTGGTATGCTGCCTGCAGGACGGACCAGCTCAGCTAGGGCAGACCGAAGGCCAGATTCAGAACGAACAATAAATTCTTGTTGCAGTCATTCATTCAGCCGTCTACAAAGTGACACTATCGGTTCAGCTATCCATTTACATCCAGCCAGCCATTCAGCCAAAGCCCAGCCACAATACGCACACCGTCACTCACTGGACCGCTAAAGCACTGCAACCCCCACCCTGCAAAGCCCTGAACCCGCCGTAATACCTGGTCGGTGGATTCCCCCATTTGGGCGCTAACTTGAAGGGCAGGCACTTGCACCAGCACGCAACAGCCTTTGCCTGCCTACCTCTGTAGGTAGGTACCTACAGACTGGAGGACCCTGGCTGCACAGTACCTTCCAGCTGCAAGGAACCTCAACCAACGTAGCAGATTACACTAAGAATACCTGCGATGGAAGCAAGTCGGTCTGTTCTGTACCTACATACCTGCCCACGCTACCACTCTGCTAACAGGCAGCTAACTACGGTAGGTACCTACCTAAGTTAGCTTGCTTGTCCACCGACAACTGTTTACGTCTCCCTTGTCCGCATCTCCCGACCGACCCTCCCCAGCCCTCATCATCGCTGTTGTCTCTCGCTAGGGTTCTTTTTTCCTTTCCGCTATCCATCATCGTCTCCTTTTTGGATTTCTTTCTCATTTTCTTCTTGTTCATCGTTAAATATCATACTTTCTCTATATTCTCTTCTCTCACCCCACATCCCACCATCCCCCAGGCCGCTGGCCGTTTTCTTCTTCTACTCCAACGTCCAACGGCGGATTCACTGCAGGCTCAGAGTTTCCAATATACATTATGGCTGCCGTCACCACCTCGCCTCCTACCTCGCCGCCGCCTGCAGGAAAACAGTTTCCGCCTGCGCCATTGTCCGTCGGAAGCTCTGCCAAGCTTCGCGACGCTCCCATCTCCCCCGTCCGAGTCAACTTTCAGGACCATGCATGGCCCACGCCCTCGAATGCCAACATCGAAGATAGTGCCGACCATGCCCCTCACAAGCAGCTCACCGACATGTCTCTCGACACAAAATTTGTAGACGACACTATTCCCGCCCATCCGCGCCTCCAGGAAGCCCACCGCAGCTCTCGCGAATCCGACGAATCCAACACCACCTCGCATGCCCCTGCTTCGCTTCAGTCTTCGGCGCCCACCAGCACCAGCTCCCTCTCCGCCACCCGAGAGACTCCAGACTGCGCTCCCCTCGAGGACTCCTCTGCCGCCTCGGTCACCGAAGATGTCATCCCGCGCAACCAGTCGGTTCCTCTTTTCCAGTATCACCACCAGCAAGACGCTGGCTCTGATCCTAGCGCCACTTCGACACCAGATCTGCTCGACAATGGCGCGCACATTCGCCGCCACCTCACCCCCACCATGCAGGCCATGCGGCGAACCTCGATGCCTCGGCCGCACTCCTCGTACTCGGTCTACTCAGAATTTGGGCCTCGCGGCCTCTCCCCTGGTTTAATACCGGGCAGCCCTCACGCGCGCCCGCCCTCTGGACAGTCGAGAAAGTCGCCCGATCACCGTCACTCTACGTATGCCGAGCTTCTCAACGTTCCATACCCTCAGCAAGCACCCGCACCTCTGACTTGGGACAATTCCAACTTGCGAAATGTCGTTGGTAATAATGCCTCGCTGCTCAGCGCTCAAAAGACGCTGGAAATGTATCGCCAAAACGTCAAGAAGACAACCGACGTGTCCATTCAGTACTCCTTTGCTGTCTTTCTCATCTCAACCGCCCAAGAACAGGGTCTGGACTGGACTGATCCCAAGAAGAAGCTAACCCCCCACCGTGATCTTGATAGCCCGGTTGTCGAGGTCTCAGTAGCATCCCCCGTCGAGCTTGTTCGCGAAGCCAAGCAGATACTTCAGCGCCTCGCTAATAACGGCTACCCCTTTGCCCAATACTACCTCGCTGATGGTTATGCTTCGGGCCTCTTCAACAAGGGCAAGCCTGATTACAACTCGGCCTTTTCACTCTTTGTCCTCGCGGCCAAGCACGGCCACGCCGAGTCGGCCTACCGAACGGCCCTCTGCTACGAGTTTGGCTGGGGCTGCCGCAAGGATGCCGCCAAAGCTGTCCAGTTTCTGCGATCTGCCGCCTCGAAAAGCCATCCCGGTGCCATGACACGCCTCGGCAAGGCCTGCTTGTCTGGCGATCTCGGTGAGAAGCGATATCGCGAGGGAATCAAGTGGATGAAGCTCGCCACCGAAGCCGCCGATACACAATACAACGCCGCTCCGTACCAGCTTGGTTGCCTGTATGAGACGGGCTACGGCGACGATATTTTTCAAGATCCAAGCTACGCCGCCGAGCTTTTTACGCAGGCCGCTGACCTGGGACACCCAGAGGCCAACTATCGCATGGGCGAGGCCTACGAGCATGGGCTGCTCAATTGTCCCAAGGATCCAGCATTGAGTGTGCATTTCTACACGGGAGCCGCTGAACGTGGCCACGCCGCCGGTATGATGGGTTTGTGTGCGTGGTACATGGTAGGAGCTATTCCCATATTAGAAAAGGATGAAGAGGAGGCGTATGAGTGGGCAAGAAGATCAGCAGAGCTGGGTATGTTGCGAAAGCTCCTGAAAACATTGCAGAAGAGGGATGCTAATACCACGTCTAGGTTTTGTCAAGGCTCAGTATGCCGTGGGGTACTTTTTGGAAATGGGCATTGGATGCCGGAGAGACATTCTCGAGGCCAACGTGTGGTATGTCCGGGCGGCGGACGCGGGCGACGAGCGGGCTAAGCAGCGGCTGGCGGTTATTCAGGCGGCGATTCACGGGGGTAAGCCTATGGAGGTAGCGCCGCGCAAGGGCGGGAAAAAGGACGATAAGGACTGCATCGTCATGTAGGATACGAGGAAGAAACTAATAGCATTTTGATTTAGCATCTTTTACTTTTAGCGACCAAACGCTATATTAATACATCATGTTAATATATTCATCTCAGATTCTCAGGTAAATACATTAATACTTCAATTTGTCGTGGGGTGCAGATGACATGGGGCTGGCTGGCTGGTGGATGCATATCGCCGTCGTGGTATATGCCACCCCGCTCATGTGGCTGCGACAGACG